TTGGTTTATAATTCGGAAGTATCGTTTTAATGAAAGCTGTAATAAACTCCTTTAATTTCTCTTAAAATAATACGGACTAACAAATAAGTTGGTAACTCTCTAAACACACTTCCAAATTAATTATAGATTTCAATTTAATAACTAACCAAATTTCGATACATTACTCTACTATTGTTTCTGAAACTTTCTTTCTAACTAGACCGTAACGTGTGCTTTCAAACATACCTTTTCTGAAGAAGTCACTAAATTCCAGCAAACAAAGCTTGGTCAAATTGTTGCCCCCTGCAGGCGTGGCAGGGGACATTCCGGCATTTTTCGGAGCAGACCTCGATAAGACGCTGACGATAGGTGTCTAATTCAGACCGACGCGTACGCGCTGTTTCATCGGAGCAGGACGAAGAACAAGAGGTGTCGAGGCGGAAAACTAAGCTCAGCCACCTGGGAAACGAAAAATAAACAACGCACAAAAATATTAGATTATTAAATACTGTTTATCTATGAATAAATAGTATAGTAATCAAATAAAACCATGGTTAGCTTAAAAAAAATCATAATACGTTAGTTTTGTGTTCTGAAGAATAAGTATATACTGCAATACTAATATTAATCCGTTCCATACCTTCTGTCCATATCTCGACTTCATCGTCAAGTGTAAATCTCTAAATTTGCTGTAACGTCTCAACAAACTCCATGATTCAGTTTCAGTATAAATACGGATTTCATATTCCACGTGGTTTTCTTTCTAGCGCCTCGAAGACAAAACTGTTACGCTTATTACATTTCTGTCACCACCTATAAAACATATTAAAAAATCAAAAAACATATATTTTGATTGAACAAAAACAGGAGATAATTTTAATACCTTCGCCATTGAACGCTGGCATTGTTCGTGATAAACTCAACGCGAACGGCGAAGAACAATCTTCTCCTTGGCCCTGAATAAATAAAATAAATAAGGGGTAAATTAAAGTTATCAGTAAACATAAAATTGCAAAATTATGATGAGCAGCATGCAACCAGTATGTAACCAGTTTGTACTACGTAGCCTGAACATAAATGCAAGCCTCCAATTAAAATGAATTTAAAACCGCTCATTACTAAATTATAAATTGTTTATCAATGTACAAATCGGACTCACCATATAGTAAACACTTGTATATTGTAAAGAATTCGCATCATTTTGCAAAGTATCAAGATTAGAATCCTTATATATATTGCTACAAGTATCAACATCGCTTGATCCATCACTTGTCGAGCAGTCAATCATTTTACACGTTCATTTATATCGCCATTCGTATATACATCTTGAAGATATTTTTCTAGCTGAATTTTCTGTCTTTGCAGGTCATGTAATATCTATAATTGATAAATGAAAATACTTAAATTCGAATTCAGTACTGTGATAGAAGAGAAAGTCAATCATAAACTCTTTATCCATTAATTATAACTCAAAATATAAAGAGTGAAATTAAAAATTCTTTAAATATCAAACTAAAGTAGAAGCAGCTATCAATTACAATAAATATAAAGAGAGACCTACAAATTAAAATAAATTATTAAAATAAATACCTGGACAATAGTTACGTAAAAAAGAAAAATGCAAAGTAATTAAAGAAATAAATAAAAATTTAAAAACTATAAAAAAGTATATATTTATAATCTATACCAACCGCAATCTGCTTATCTAAAGCTTCTTTCGAATTCTGAGCTTCCAAAATTCTCATAATAATCATTTTTGTCTTGCTATTTTATGTTGTATTCTTTGCATAGTTCTTAAAGGCACTGCAGTTTTATTGTTCATAGTATTTGATTTACAATTATTAATTTCTATATCTTCTGTCAAACTTATTTCTGAAGGCACACTTGATATTTCATTACTCGATATATTATAGTGTTAAAATTATTTGTCGGTGTCTCTTATTTAAATGGCAGTGAAGGGGATCGTCATAGACCAAATTTTTGTTTGAAGCATTTTTAGCCTGTTTTGTACTGGGCTGGAAATTAACATTAATCAATCTGATATTTTAAAAGAAATTAAAACAAACAAAAAATTAATTAATGATTGCGAAATTTAAGATAGTAAATGATGCAAAAATTATACAAATAAAAAACTGAACATGATATATTAGAGGCCATTACCTCGCAATTGTCTTTTACTTTATCACATTTTTGTTATCCATATTAGCTTCTTGTCGGTTGAGCAATCTGTAAAAAAAAAAAAAATCATTTCTAATTATTGTTAGGCAGTATAACAATATTATAAAATATTAAGAATGAAACATAAAATATACAGCAACAAAATTGTATTAAATAAAAATATAGATATTAAAATAAAAGTAAATAAATTAAATCCGAAGTAACATAATATAATATTAAATTGTGATATTAAGTAAATTGTTAAGTGGATTAAATATCACATAAAATTATAATTATGGTTAACTAGTAGTTACCAGAATCAGCAGTATGATACGTATCAGATGTCTTCAAAGGACTAAACAATACAAGAAGGATTCGCTGAGGACGAGGTGTTGCTGAGCTCAGTAGAGTTTGCTAATGAATTCAGAGGATGTCTTATTGGTAAAGACAACCTTTTTAAAAGAAACATGAAACAATATAATATTTCTGCCATAAAATGTGAAAGATATGAAAATGAAAGTATAACTTACGACATTTTCCTTTTCAATAAATCATCAGCCTGTTCACTATTGGTCTCTTGTATAAACTTGTTAGAATCAATATTTGGAGGTTCTGATAATTTATTTTGTTCTTCGTTAATATCAATTTGCTGTTGTTTCAAATCTTCTAATTTCGAATCAATATCATTCAATTTCGACATATGCTTGTTCAAATCCGAATTTTGAGACCTTAAAGATGTTTCCAGTACATTGACTTCATGTTGCTATAAAAAAGAAATTAAAAATATATTAAATATTGACTATATTATCACTAATCCAGTGTATTTTGTTACACTGACCTGGTTTGCAATGTTTCGGTGAACACTTGCTTCTTCAGACATTCGCATCAAAGCAGAAACACATTCGTCTAATGTGTGAGGAGTGTCTGAATCTAAATCCTCGCATTCTGAAGATGTCTAAAACCATTAAATTCTGTAGATATTGATATATTCATATTTATATATACATTATATACAATACATATACAATTTTTAATCAGATTTTAATCCATTAATTAATTTATTGGATTTCAATCATAGTTCTCAAAAGCAATATTTCAATTGAAATTATAGTGAATGAATAGCGATCAAATAGGCTTCGATCCGGTTCAAGAATGTTTCAGCACAAATCATATCAATAAATAAACTAGAATACTTAAGTTAATAACTTAAGTTATATAACATAAAATGGTAAGTAAGCCAAATAAAAATAAAATATACAACATATACCTTGTTATTATTTTTCATGATTTTCTTTAATTCAGTCTGAATATAATCCATAAGAGCACTTTTTTTCAACTCCAAATTTTCTGAAAGATCTTTCATGTTTGACGAAACTTGTTTTACCTTTTGATTAAAATAAAAAGAAACAAACCAAAAATAAAATAAATCAATAATGAAACATAACAAATAAATAAACAAACAAAGAACATGAACATGCAGAATAAACTAATTTTGAAATGAATCACTTGAACACGATGAAAAAACTTTGAAGTAAGAGTCAATTCATTGAATAAGCATATATGAGCTGAAAAGCATCTATGAGCTAAGAATCAAATGTAAAAACTCACCAAATCATTAGTATCTCCCGTTCAGCTAATAATTCTTCGGTTTGTCTTTTAATTTCTGTTTCCTTGCTGAGCAACATTGACTTGCTTTCATTTTGTATTCGTTCTAATCTTGCCAGTCTTCTGCAAGTTTCATACATTGGGCTCTGTAAGCCAATTCCATTTCTTCTCGTACCTGTTAGAATCGCAATAATCCAATATTGTTAGTTGAATTAACTTTATAAATTTAAATAAATATTCAAATATTAGAATATATATTAATTGCTTGTGAGATGAAATAAGAATAATCTAGCTGATAACTGATACTATCAGCAGTTGCTATAAAATAAATAAAAAAAAACATAAAAATATGAAATGTTCAAATTTAATAGACTAGGAATATGAAAAAGGACAATTTATTTAGACTAGACCTAATATGATAGCAACGAAATATATTTAATATATGTTGTATGTAATCTATATCCATTAATATAAATAAACTCGTAAAGGAGATAGTAACAATGATTACCAATTGTAATTGTTTTTGAGCGGTTTCCAATTCTTCAAGTTTTTTCTTTTGTTCTTCTTTCCAACCAAGCTCTCGTTGAGTTTGCTGCTTTTCAAAACTATTCTTTTCCTTTTGTAATTCCGAGCGTTGCTGTTCCAAAACTCCTTCATCTCTTAAATAGAAAGCAGTTGAAATATAGTAATATTCATAATGTGTATATCAAAGTTATAAATGTAATAAAAAAGTACCCATTAGATAATAAATTCTCGGAGGACGCAGCCAGATCTGATGTAGACCAGCTAAGAAGCGAAAGCCGCGATAGATTTAACCTTGATTTACTTCCACCTTGTCTAAGTTTAGCTGCTTCTACAGGATCGTTATAACGAAACATGTTCGTACGGCCTAGCAGCAAAATACAACCTGGAAATATAAAAAATAAGAACCATATCATTAAAAAACAATAGTAAAGAGCATATTTTGAATTTGGTATACAAAATATGGTTAGTAAGATTGTACATTTTTAAGAAAAAGTAGCATGCTTTGTAAGTTATTAAGCGCATAGTTTTATGAAACTAATTAGTTTAAAAAATAAAATACCAAGAGAATTTTTACCTTGACTTAGTCTAGTCGATTTCTCTATAAGCACTGTATTGAGCCAGCACTGTGCACCCTCTTTTGGATGAATTACTGCAACACCTTTATTCAGTGTAATACTGCAATGATTAGGTAGAACATCTGGGCCATTCAGAACAATATCTTGAGTTGTTGTTGCTTCATCTGATCCTATTAAAGTTTCTCCTTCCTAGAAAATTATTGTTAGAACTTTTACAAAACCTATATTTGACCAAAACAGCAAAAAATAAAACATTAGACTAAAACAGTAGAAAAATACTTGTAGTATTATTTTTGTATAAATTTTAGGGTTAGGTAAAAAAAACTAAATTCTAAAATTACCTTCAAGTGATACAAAGTAACCCTGTACTGAGTAAATCATCATCGATGATGCGGTATATCGCTGTCCAGAACTACACCCAAACCAGCTTTGCGTAGTCCCAAAGCAGTCTGCTCATGTAAAATTTGTTGAGTTTCTCGCCATTTTTCAGTCCATTCTTCAGTAAGAACTTTTTCCTGTGCTTCCTTTTGGTGCAAAGCAGCTAATACTTGTGGTTCAGATAGCAAACTCTGTAATAGATATCATTGATACATTATTATATATTAATGAAATTTTTTAATTGAATATAATGGAATTGAATCAATTACCAATAATTGATTTACTTACTGTATCCGACATCATAGACTTCAATTTACTAATTTCTTCTCTAAGTTCTCGGATTAATTTAACATTTGGATCTTCATTAATTGTAGGTTTATTAATAATATTCTTAGCTCTATTAGCGTATCTTAAAGTACTCAAAGTTTCTCCATAATTACAATCAGCTGGTGATATTGCTGCAATCATTATAGTTTTTGAATTACCACCAAGACTGTCTTTAAGCAGCCAAGTAAGCACTGAATCTCGGTATGGTATGAATGTTTTAGATTTGCTAGATGATGTTTGTGTTGAAGAAGATAATTCAGCTAAAGCTGAAATAACAGATCCCAATGTAACTAAAGATTTATTTATATGAGCCCCTTCTTTTAGACGCTGACCAGTTGCTCCAGAAGAGTCAGCTCTTTCACTAAATATAACAAGAATTTGTCAGATGCTTATAATCTCGTTTCTAGTGCATATAATAAACCTTACCTTCCAGCTAAATCAACAAGATGTACTTTAGAAACGGTTTCACTTGGCATATCATTACTGTAACCAGCTTGAACAAATGTAACAGTAAAAATGGCATGACTTCTACTTGATACATCATTCATATTGGTGGAAGCTGTTGTTCTATGTGAATTACCTCTAAGCATACACTCCTAATAAATAATTTGGTATATTTAGTAATTATTGAAATTTCTATTAGTTGGAATTTTGTTGGAAAATACATGATAGATGTCAATCTCATTAGAATTTGAGTGAGTCTAATTAAGAATAAGTAAGTAAGCTGTATTATTAATTAAAAATTTACTTGAATTCCTCCATAATCAGAAACTAGATGTGATGATAAATCTTGAACATAAGGACCACTTTTTGGATGTTCACGAACCTTTAAACTATGTCCGGAATCAGTACTATAAAGAAATAAAGTATAAAAAATTGTATTGACATACTGCAAATAAGTTAACATACCTCAAAAGATCTTTTACACGTTCATTGTATATTTCCAAATAGCTTACTTCTGTACGATAACTTGCACCTTGTTCTTTACCAGTGAGCATTCGACTGAATAAATTCTTGCAGATTCTAGGTATTAAGCCCTGGCAATCCTTTTTAAATACATAAATATAAAAATTAATTAAGATGCATGTTTAAAGGTGAGTACATATTAATAAAAACGTTATGTATAAAAAGATTCTCACCGGTGTCCCCATCATGGTAAAAGTTTTACCACTTCCAGTTTGGCCATAAGCAAAAACACAAGCGTTATAGCCTTCAAATGCACTATCAACTACATCATTTCCTAGGTCAGAGTATACCTTAAAAATAACAAGCAAACTCGATAATAGAGTTTAAACTTTGAAAATAAATTAATAAATAAATGCAAATAACATATTCTTGTAATTCCGGCTATTAATAATGTTTACATTTTCTATGTATTTTTCATTATAAAAATAACTTACTTGTTCCTGTGATGCAAAATTTTCATCAGTATTATTGTGTGACCAGTATGAGTAATCAAATGTAAAGTCCTTATATTGATCTTTTTCATCATTAAGTTGTCGTGTTGAAGAAACCTAATTAACAAGATCTTCAATTAGTAAGAATGTTCTAATTGAATGGTAAATTTATAATCATTTGTATACTTGTGGGTACAAACAAACTTTATATATAATATAGACATAAATAAATAATAAAAAATACAATTACCTGAAGTAATATATCAGGAAAAAAATAATTTTAAGGTAAAATTATTGTGCAAGACAAAATGTAGTGATATTTATAAAATTGCAAGTAATAAATAATAATACCTTATTCAATAGTCTGGTCTTTTTTCCGTCCATTTTTATTATAAGTTTTGATTCCATAGCAATCTCCCTGTAAATGTTATCAGTTTCGTAATAATATGCAACTTTTTGGGGAATTAATTATTATTACCTTTGATTAAAGGGGCGAACCCTAACTGCTACTTTTAACGACGCCATTATTTCTTGCAATTTAATGACACAAAGCAACCAATATTTATTTTAACAAATAAAACTAACAAAATAAGGTAAAAATAAATATTTTCTACAATATGTACATCTAAACATTTTTTTATATAAACTTTTACACCGCACTATAATTACTCATATGTACTGTGTTTGATTAAACACTTGAGATATGAATTTCACTTAAATCTATTAAACATTAAAAATTTAATTAATCATTGCACAAATAACAATCTATTATTGTATTTGACATTTAGTTTCAACATCTGTCAACTTATTGTCACAGTCATAGGACAGATAGTCCACCATAGACAAAGTTTTATAAGATGAGTACTACATTTTTTTCCCGTCTACTAACTACGGTATCTATGGACAAAAAAGTATTACCAACTGTGATTTTAATTTGAACGTTATTTCAAAACTGACAAGTGCTTCAAAACTGTGAGTGCTCAAACTTAATTAACCTAACAATAATTTCTTGCGATAATTTAACCTTCGATGAAAGAAGTATATGTATGTAATACAGATGGGCTTATTATATATTATATCCGAAGTCGGATCGACTCGGATTTGACTCCGCTTCAGGGAGGAGTTATATCCGCTTAACAACTCCACGACTCCGACAACTTTAAAACCGAAATACTCGACACAAATGTGTTCTATAATGCGTTGATTGAAAATAATTGATTTTTTTGATTAATTTTATATAAAAATAATGTAGTAAGCTTTGTAATAAAAGCAAAACATTTATCACAAAATATTTTCACCAAATAATAATACTTCTGCTTTCTAATTTTTTCTTCTGCTATGTCCATTCGAGAATTAATATTATATCGGATAGTTCGATTAGCATATTCTATAATTGTGTAAAAGTAAAAACTTAATACTATATATTTTTTGCTGCAAATACTATTGACGTCACTATGGAAAGACCAGATTAAATGTATTTTGTTTCGCGTATTTTTCGGTATGTATATTCCTGATCGCCGTCATTCACGGCCAAAGATTGTCGTTGTTAGAAATATGACCCCTTACTATTCAATAAATTATACATTGGAGCTATTCACACTTGAACACAATTTCATTGATCTGTATCTTTGATGTAATATTTTTGTATTTTCTGAAAAAAAACATATACCTAAAAGGTCATAAAACTGCCTGCGAGACGAGAAAGCGACAGCTTCTTTCCCAAAGCAAAAACGCACGAACAGATTTAGTACCAGCTTAGGGAAGTCGGATATGACAAATCCGGTGAGACTACTCCACTCGAATTCACTCCGAGGCAAGAGTTGTATCGGAGTGATAACTCCGGAGTGAGTTACCCATCTCTAGTATGTAATATAATTACAATTCACTTTCTGTTTTGTGGTTTTGTGTTTGTTCAATCAAAAAAGATTGGAAAATGGAACCCACCTACCGCAGTAAGTATATTTTTTCATCTAATGCAAATGATTTAATCCTTATCTTAATCCTTATAAATTATTAAGTAACTAATTTGTAAAGATCGAGACGGTTTACTTTCTAGATAATTATATCATGGTATAGTTAGATAATTATATCATAGTATATAATTGATGAAGTAGTCTTTTTGTTTTTACACACGTGCACTCTTTTTTGTTCGTTTCTTGCAGAGATAATCTTAGGATTTTTCCATCTTCTTACTTCAAATTTTTAGATGGTAACCATCGATAAAAATATATATGATGGTAACCAAATGGTTAATCCATTCGTACTTGATGATTTTATTTTTAGAATTCATCTAATAGGGCTGACTGCATGTTTATTGGTGTAGGAATCAGCGGATTAAGGGCTGTTTTCACTTGGAAACATATTGCTATCTATACTTCCAAGTGAAAATCGTTTTCAATGCTGCCTGATAACAGGCTGCTCGAAGAGGGTATCGAATCCGGGACCTCTGAATCAAGTCCCGTCGCTCTTAGCCGCTTACCTACAAGCGAGCCCATTCAATGCAAATGGCGTCAATAATAAGGTTACTCCATAAACAGATAAACCCATAACATTTTATAACGATGCTGAAAATTCATCTAAATGCAATATATAACATAAGTGTTTTAATTAATTGCTTATTCAAATATTTTGTATTTCTTTTATATAGTTATATAAGTTCTCTACATTGTATTCTCAATAATTAATATAATATTCTACTTAAGTACTTATATATTAATACTTTTAATATTTAATTAATATATTCACAGCTTACACTCGTCCGCCAAAATAAAATCATTTTTATTACTCATTTTAAAAACAATCATAATTTCAATGCAATACAATTCCAAATTAAAATACTGATAATTGCATCTGATTTTATTTTAGTTAAAATTAAAAATTATAAAGCATCAGTAAATAATTCTTAACAGTTGAGCTACTAGATTTTGACCAATTGAACCTAATATAAATTAAAAATCCAATGATTTTTATAAATTTATATACTTTTTAATACATAATCAATTATGTTTATTTCTTTAAATATAATAATTATTTTATGACATGTAAGCATAGAATATTAAGATCGCGATCTTTTGATATAAGATCGTCATGAACTTGATGACTAGTATTTTGTTTGATTACTTTTTTATATTTTGCAAAAAAAAATCGGTTTATATAATATAAAACAAGTTATATATGTATATAAAATACACATAATTATGTATATATACATAATTAATTCAAGTATTTTTATGTATAATAGACCTATATAAATAGCTCAATTGTCAGTATTCGTATATAAAAAGATTTTAACATCTTTTCTTCGGCACAACTCTTAATTAAATATAATTATTATTCATATGTACAATTTATCCGGTTATGCGGTTTAATAATTTTTATATGTAAGAGATGAATAAAAGAAAAATTATAATTTTTATTTTTGGTTCGTTATATTAATAATAACAACAGTGTCCTAGTGCTTGATTATTATTTATTTTAAATTATTTATCAATAAATTAAATACTTTTAATCGAATACACTGAATTATAATTTGCAGTTCAAACAAATTTAATACTCTTCAAAGCTATTTACAAAGCGCTTTTTCAATAATAGGCATATAATATAAATTTGTATGATTATCAAAAATATTTTCTACATAATTTTACATAATAGGCTTAAATTTGATACGCAATAAATATGAAATTAATATCACATATATTTGGCTGCTAATATTACTGTTTGAGCAATGAGCACATAAATAGTATTTCATATGTATGAAGCAATTGTTAAAATAAACCAAAACTAATTATTGTTGTTAAACAATAAATAGCAAAACATAAAGATATAGATATAATAAATAAATATGCTAACAATAACTACTTAAGCATGGATAGAAATCATAATTTCATATAATTCACAAAGAACTATTTTCTATCGTCAGTTCTTACATAGTTACTATGAACTAATATTTATTATTAACGTATAAATATTAATATAATAGCTAGTCTTTCTGTTATTTAAATATTACAGCTATTCGTAATAATTAGGAATTTTTGATCCGCGTCAGCTATATTTATCTAACCAGAAATTATCACAAAATCAATGATAAATTATCTTTAACTCTATATAATTAATTTTAATTGGGACAAGATGAGATTCACTACAGGTACCTATTTGGAGAATAGCATCTCATATTAATAAAAAAAAATGCAATTTTTGAAAATAAATGAAGCGTAAACTAGATAATTTTCAATTGAAGTGGTTGATTTTTTAATTGAAAAATAGAACAACCCTAAAAATAATGAAATACTTTGAGAAATATATGTGTCTTCAAAACTCCGTATTTTTTAAACGAATGCAATCAAATTAAATAAAATATATATTTATAAATTCAATGATGTATTATTTCTAATTGCTCGTAAATATCATTGCTTCAGTAAAAACTAAACTCTATTTTACGCTTCATTTTTTAAAAAACGATAATAATTCAGTATCAATCATATCAATGTATGCGCGACACTAATTATATATAAAAATATTAGTTATAAACCCATAGGTACGATCGTATCCAAAATCAATCCATTTCTATAATTTCTTAATGAAAATAATAACTTTGATATAAGTATAAATATTTATAATATTATACAATATGGGATATTTTTAGGAACTCTAAAAATTCTACTTACTTTTTGGTATCAGTTTAGCTGTATAGATAATAATCTTCTATACTACGACCTGTATAAATATTTCATTAGAAATGCACTAGTTGTGTTTGTTATCCATAACTAATTTATATATCTAAGTTGACGATGTGCGTATTGTCTATTTCAGATTTTTTGGTGATAACTATTTATTGCGAACTTGCTGAATTCGGTGCTATATCCCTGATACATTTATCTGACATGATTGTGAGAATTTGATCAAATTTCGAGTGCCTTTCTTCTGCACTCAAAGTAGCTCCTTTGCTACCCCAGAGGAACTTCTGATGAAACTCAGTCCTGGGAAAAATGAAAAGGTAAGTTGTATAAAATCTTTACATTATTAATTTATGCAGTTAAAAACTGCATGTGCAGCTAGAAGCTTTATTAGGTTTTGTTATAATTTATCGTTTATCTTACCTGAAAGCGTCACAAGAGATGTCTTCTTCGGCGATTTCTTGTAGGACGCTGTTAGCAATTCGCCTAAAAGTGGCAACACTAGGCGCAAAAGATCTTGCAGCCTGCATGTGCTGAATTAAGGTGGTTAATCCAAAATCTGTAGAATTTTGTTCCCAACTAGCTAAGCAGCTATTCGCAAAACCAGTACTATTAATCGCAACTGAAAAATAGTAAAATGTCTATTCTCTATATTCTATAAATCATTTGAAAATTAAATAAATTATAGATATCAATTTCTAGTTAAATTCAATTGGGTTTAACTTTTACCTTGAAAATCATCGAGATCGCGTTCCATCAACAGTGCGATAGGCAGTACATGAGGTATTGTCGTATTGGGAGCCTGAGGATTATGGCCTTCATTCATTGCTTTTAATGTAGGCCTCAATTTAGCTTCAAATTGAAAGGCACTGTCCGTATGTCTTTGTCTCAGAATATGCCATGATTTTTCTAATTTTTGAATCTAGAAAAATAATAAAAACTATCATTAATTAAAGCCAATATCGGATAAAAAAATATGGT